TATTTAAAATGTATTTATATGTATATATATATATATATATATATATATATATATACATATAAACACACACAAAAATAAGGGTAAACATGATGAAGGGATAGAATATGACTGTAAAGATAAAATTTAAAAAAAAATTCTAAAAAAAGAGTTGATAAGATAAGTTGGTTAGGAAAAGAAAGAAAAAGAAAATGGAGAGAATTTGCTGAAGCTGGAGACTAGAAAAACGCCCTGTGCTAGATTTAGACTATATTTTGATCTATTAGAAGAAATTGTAACCCAAAATTTTTTAGAAGAAAAATCCTTGTGTGTATACAAAAAATAAAGTTAGATACAATGAGGGATAAAATACAAATATAATAATGAAGGTTTAATAAGATCTTTTTTTTATAAAAGGTATTGTTAAGATAAACTAGTTAAAAAACGTTAAAAGAGGAAAGAGTAAAAATTTAAAAAAATTAGAATAAGAAAAAAATTAAATTAAAAAATTAATTAACTTTACAAGACTAAAGAATCATGGAGAGAAAGTCATGAATCCCATGATTTGCTTTTCCTCCTCTGGAATTCCGCTGTTCTCCTTGATAAGTGAGCTTGGTCTGGGCAGGATTTCTTGCTGATCTTCTTGGGGAGGAACCTGTTGTAGTGATTCTCAAGTGTCTTTGCCTGAGGCAAAACTGCATTGCTTTTGCCAGTGGCCAGGCTAAATAATCTGCTCACGTTTGCTTTCGGGAACTTTTGTTCCCTGAATGGTTTCTGTGGAGTTCTGGAGGATGGGAATGAAAATGGCAGCCTCCCAATCTCGGCCTGGAGGAGCAGAGAGCTTGGGGACCCACCACTCCTCAGTGCACCCTTGGAGAAAAGCTCCCAATCACTCCCGTCTGCCTGGCCTCCAGCTGTGCACCGAGCTTACCCGGCCTGTGACCGAGGGTCTCTGTGTCTGGCACACAGTCCACCCACCCCACTCCACAGACCCCACCTGGGTCTCCAAACCCAGCAGATCACAGCTGCTTTTCCAGTGAGGTCTCCCTGTATCTGCCACTTGTGGGGTCCCTGCTCAAAGAACAATGGTCTGACTGTGCCCCAGATCACAGTTTAAGGTAACCCCGAGCTGAGAGCTCACTCCTCTGCTCCATCTCTTTAGCCAGCTTCCCTGCTCTAATACCTGTGAGCTCTGTGATATTCAGACACCCCCAATCCTTCTGTGACCTCACGGGACCTGAGACCATGCTGTCCCTGTGAGGGCTCCAGCCCCACTTATCCTCTGGAGCCATGTCCCTCAGTGGAGCAGATTTTAAAGATCTTTTTAATTTATTTATTTGACAGACAGAGATCACAAGTAGGCAGAGAAGCAGGCAGAGAGAAAGGAGGAAGCAGGCTCTTGTCAAGCAGAGAGCCTGATGTGGGGCTTGATTCCAGGACCCTGGGATCATGACCCGAGCCGAAGGCAGAGGTTTTAACCTACTGAGCCACCCAGGCGCCCCTGAAGCAGACTTTTACAAGTTTAGATTTTGTGCTCCATTGTTCTGTGGTTTGCCGGGATCCGGTGACTCCCCCCATGGGCTATCTTCCCATCACTTTGGATTCACTTCTCCACAGGTCCTACCTTTCAGAAATTGGTTGATTTTCTGTTTCTAGAATTGCTGCTCTTCTTCTCTTTGATCTCCTGTTGGATTTGTAGGTGTTTGGAATGATTTGATAAGCTATCTAGCTGATATCTGGCGTCCTCAGCCTTAGGAGTGCACATGTTTTGTTTGTTTTTTCATTGGCAGATTCTCTCCCATCAAGCCTTCAGATGGATTAATGAGGGAACAAGAATGGTGATGAGGGAATAAAGCTTGTTTTAATATGTATCTGAGACTTAAACAACTCATAAGTCAAAGCATAAGTAAAAGCAATTGCTTAGGGAAGTTGCAAGCCAAGAGGGTCTGACCAAAAGACAGGATTCAGAATAAACTACAGAGGCTTTCTTTATCTTCAGGGACTTCTCATCTCCATAACTCTAAACTTTTCTTTCAAGCGTTTAGTAAGTTTATAATTTCAAGGAATATCTTGTTGCTCAAATTTGGGTACAGTGTATGAGTTAAAATTGTATTAATTGATATCTTTTCTACTTAAATACAACTGGAAACACTGGTTATAAGTCTGAGGGTAGGCTCATTTGGAAAATTCTAATTCAGAATCTCTTATTGAAATTTAAGCAATAAATTATATCTGGGATTAGAGGACACATGGCTACTATCATCTGGTAGCAAGACAGTCAATGAAGCAAAAATCAATAAACTCCTTAAGGTAATAATAACAAAGAAATCAGATCTCATATTTTTAAAAAGATATCATTTGTCCATAACAGACAGTAAATATTTGATGATATATTCATATTTACTTGTTCATTAATAGTTTTTAATATAAAAGTAAATTATCTTATTGAACTTGAGATAGCTGCCAAGGCATTTACATGCTAAATTTGTAAGTAGACATGGGTTAAATAATAATAGAAGTAATCCAGGCCTGAGGGAATTGTAATTAAAAAAACATTTTTTTAAAGATTTTATTTATTTACTTGAGAGATACAGAGAACGAGAGAGAGAGAACATGTGAGGGGGAAGGGTCAGAGGGAGAAGCAGACTCCCTGCTGAGCATGGAGCCTGATGTGGGACTGGATCCTGGGACTCCAGGATCATGAACTGAGCCAAAGGCAGTTGCTTTAACAACTGAGCCACCCAGGCTCCCGAAAAAGCATTTTAATGACTTTTATGGACTGAATTGTGTCTCCTCCACAAGACTTATATGTTTAAGTCCTAACTGCCAATTTGAATTTGGAGACAGGGCCTTTAAAGAGGAATTCAGGTTAAATGAGTTTGTATGGATGGGCCTCTAATCCCGGTGTCCTTGGGAGAAGAGGAACAGATACCAGCGATGCCTACTCACAGAGGAAAATACATGTGAGGACACACTGAGAAGGTGGCCATTTTTAAGCCAAAGATACAAACCTCAGAAGAAACCAGACCTTCTAATACTTTGAACTTGGACTTCCAGCCTCCAGAACTTGAAAAAATAAATATGTTATTCAAGCCACCCAGTCTGAGGTATTTTGTTATGGCAGCCTTTGCAGATTCATACCATTACATATGGCTGCTATTTCTGAAAGTACAGATACAACTTCTGTCAGAAAATACTTAAATATATTGGATAATATATAATCAAAATTTTAAAATTGCAATTTAGATGGGATAAGGCAATGGATACAGTAGAAGACCAGAAACTATAAGACAAAGCACCAGTTTGCCTGTCTGGACCTTGGTTCTTAATGGAGAGCTAAGAAGTAAAACTCTTCCTAGGATCATTTTTATTATGATTTATAGATGTGTAGTAGTATAAGGTCATAATTATACTATATATACTATCTAAAATATCTTTTTGACCTGATTTGGTTATGCCCTGGTGCCTGAGGGGAAAAAAAATTAAATCTTGTATGAAAGAATACTCTTTAAACACAGACCTGATCCCAGGAAACAAGACCAAATAATTAAAAAATAATTTAACTCTAGAAGATTAAAAAAAAATCACAGATGTGGATTAATAAGAATAATCTACTGTAAACACAGATCCACAAAGATTACATGTTAAAATTATAGTATGTACTATTAAATAAAATAATTACAAAATAGGTGGTAGCTTAATTTATGACAAAGACATAAGAAATAGCAAAATTTATACTCTGACTTGAAAAAACAGAACTTCTATAAATTAAAAAAAAGGAAAAATACATAAGAAATGTTTAAATCTGATAAAAATACACTGATCTTCAAATAGTAAAGTCCAATAATCACAATTTGGCAGAACACATTAAGGATAAGAAATATTTTGAGAGGAACCAGAAAAACAAAACAAAACAAAACAAAACAAAACAAATGGGGTTCTTGGTATTAGGGCTTAATAAAAGATACCAACAATAGCTGTGGAACTCAAAGGGAGTGGAATAATCTAATTCAACATAAAGCAATATCTTAATTTAGAATTTCATAGGCAGTGAAACTATATTTCAAGATTGAATGTAAAAAAATAAAAACAAAAACAAAAACAACAAACCCTGGGGCTAATAATACATTATATGTTTACAAAAAAATAAAAAATAAATTAAAAAAAACGAAAAAAACCCACATTTACAGAGAAATCAAAATCTGAGTTTGACATTACCTTCACTGCAATAAGCATAGTCAGAAAAATGGATCTCATGTTGAAGAAATATGTTCATTTTGGAACAACTTCAGTTTTTCAGTACAAGAAGGAATGAAAGCTGAAGAGAGTCTTCCAAATGTTCTTAAACATAATAAACAAAAGAACATATAAATTTATTAAATTACTTATATTAGAAAAGAAATGATAGAGTCCATATACATAATAATATGTGATACAAGAAGGGAATAACTGGTTTTCTTTTAAGAACCTTCTATTGTTTAGGGAAAAAAATAAAGGTGGTGATTAACTTCAGAATTTGATGAACCACATATAATTGTTAAAATGAATTACAGCTCATAATTTACAAATTAGCAGAATACAAGAAATGGAATCATGAAAATTTGAAATAAAAAGAAAGGAAGTGTACATATGAATTCATATTTCAACATATTAGTATGCATATTAAATGTTAGAAGGAAAATAGATATTAGTGTGACTCAAAAAGGCAAACAAAGCCAAATAATTACAGTGACATATGCAAAATAAACCCCAAAATTAAGAGGAATGTTGAGCGAAGTTATATACAAGTATTAACTACTTGAACATAGTATAGCTGTAGAAGTTTACCAATAAAAAACAAAGAATTGACATCACTAAGAAATAAAGATGATCATCAACTTATAATAAAAATGTTATTGCAATTCTAAACTTTTGTACATTTGGTAATATAGCCTCAATATGAAAAAAAAATAGGAAAAAGTAAATTTATTTATTTATTTATTTTGATATCTGATCTTATTTGTCACTATTAGAAAAACTCATTTTTAACTGGACTCTGACTTAGAGGTAGTTCTCACAGAAGACAGCCTCTGTCTGTTGGCAATCTGTTCCTGGCATTTTACTTTGGCCTCCTTCATTTTCTTGGCCAAAAATTTAGCATAATCTGCAGCCTCTTCCTTATTTTTCTTAATTTGTTGTTTCTTCAAAGGAATACGCCGACATCTGTGTTGGAAGACACATGGAATAACAAGATGCTGAATCATGGGCACTTTGGTTCTAGGTTTCTTGTAATCTTTGTTTAGGGGCTTTCTCACAACAAACTTGTGGACATCATCTTCTTTAGATGTGGACCCTCAACTCTATGGTCAAATAATCTTCAATAAAGCAGGAAAAAATATACAGTGAAAAAAAGTCTCTTCAATAAATGGTGCTGGGAAAATTGGACAGCTATGTGTAGAAGAATGAAACTCGACCATTCTCTTACACCATACACAAAGATAAACTGAAAATGGATAAAAGACCTCAATGTGAGGCAGGAATCCATCAGAATCCTAGAGGAGAACATAGGCAGTAACCTCTTCATCATCAGCCACAGCAACTTCTTTCAAGATATGTCTTGAAAGGAAACAAAAGTGAAGATGAATTTTTGGGACTTCATCAAGATCAAAAGCTTCTGTACAGCAAAGGAAACAGTCAACAAAACAAAGAGGCAACCCACAGAATGGGAGAAGATATTTGCAAATGACAGTACAGACAAAAGGCTGATATCCAGGATCTATAAAGAACTCCTGAAACTCAACACACACAAAACAATTAACCATGTCCAAAAAATGGCCAGAAGATATGAACAGACACTTCTCCAATGAAAACATACAAATGGCTAACAGACACATGAAAAAAATGTTGATCATCACTAGCCATCAGGGAGATTCAAATCAAAACCACATTGAGATACCACCTTACACCAATTAGAATGGCCAAAATCAACAAAACAGGAAACAGCGTGTGTTGGAGAGGATGTGGAGAAAGGGGAACTCCCTTACACTTTTGATGGCAGCCACTTTGGAGAACAGTATGGAGATTCCTCAAGAAATTAAAAACAGAGCTTCCCTATGACCCTGCAATTACACTACTGGGTATTTACCCTAAAGATACAAATGTAGTGAAAAGAAGGGTCATCTGTACCCCAGTGTTCATAGCAGCAATGGCCACAGTCGCCACACTGTGGAAAGAACCAAGATGCCCTTCAACGGATGAATGGATAAGGAAGATGTGGTCTATATATACTACAGAGTATTATGCCTCCATCAGAAAGGATGAATACCCAACTTTTGTTTCAACATGGATGGGACTGGAAGAGATTATGCTGAGTGAAATAAGTCAAGCAGAGAAAGTCAATTATCATATGGTTTCACTTATTTGTGGAGCATAAGAAATAACTTGGAGGACATGGGGAGATGGAGAGGAGAAGGGAGTTGGGGGAAATTGTAGGGGGAGGTGAACCATGAGAGACTGTGGACTCTGAAAAACAATCTGAGGGTTTTGGAGAGGAGGGGCTTGGGGGTTTGGGTGAGCCTAGTGGTGGGTATTAAGGAGGGCACATATTGCATGGAGCACTGGGTGTGGTACATAAACAATGAATTCTGGAACACTGAAAATAAATTTTAAAAATAAATAAAAATTAAAAAAAAGAGAGAGAGAAAGAGAGAGAGACTGAAAAGTTTGCAGATTCTGCTGGCTATTTTGGGCCCCAAGTGATGAGGCACAGTAGTATCAGTAAGTCCAGGTATATCCTTCCCCCCTTTTTTCACAATGACCATGTTGAGAACTCTGAGATTGGCATCCACCATGCAACCCTGAACATATTTGTACTTTCTCTCTTCAGTCCTCCTTGGTCTATAGCAGGAACGCACCCTAGTCAGCAGCAGGACAACAGGGCCATGGGTCAAGACATCCTGCCTCATGGGGAAGACTTGTTTGTCATCACCACCATTGATTAGGACCACATAACCCTTCCACCCAGAACATCAGCAGCAACTTCTGTGGCCATAGGCTTCTCATAAAAGGTACGAAGTTTGTGTTTATCACCCACTTCAATGAGTTTCTGCAACCATTAGCTGGGAAAGAGATGTCAGTTTCATCCTGAAGCAGCCTACTTCCCCAGAGGCACCACAAAAAAAAAGCTGTAAATATATTTACCATCAGAGCTGAAGATTTTAACTACCTTTGTTCATAAAAAATATACCTCATTTTCCAAAAACAATTTAAACTAGATGCAATTGACAGCTTTCCAAGATTTATGACAATTCTGCACAAATTTAAAGCCTTTGTAACGGGGCACCTGTGTGGTTCAGTTGGTTAAGCCTGCAACTATTAGTTTCAGTTCAGGTCTTGATCTCAGGTACATGGGTTGGAATGCCATGTTGTGTGCCATGTTTTGCAGGGAGTCTGCTTGAGATTCTTTCTCTCCCTCTCCCTCTGCCCTAATCCCCCTCTGTAAAAGAAGAAAGAAAGAAAAAAAAAGATACGTTTTAGAAATAGATTATATTCTTAGATAACAAAGTGTAAATTGAATTTTCTGTATGTGTTTGGAAATCTCAAAACACACCGGACAATAACTTACTATGGATATCTGAAAAATTTTTGAGCTTGAAAGTATACCTCTAACTTTAGGATTTTGACATTTCAGAACTTATATTGAGATAAAAGAAAGACTGGAAATCAATGCAGGGAAAATTGAATTTAAAAAAATGGGAAAAATAACACATCAGGAATAAGAAAGTAGAAACAAAGAGAAAATAAAGAAATTGAAAATAAGTATTAAATACATTCAGGAAATTCAAAGCTGGTTCTTAAAAGAAACTTACAAAACTCTGGCAGAATTGTTCAAAAATAAAGATAAACAGAGATAAGCAGTATTAGAAATTGAAAACTATCAATCTTTAGTGCTTTTTTAGCAGCACATATTCTAAGGATGTCACCGTTTAAAGAAAAAGATAGATTTATAAAAAAAAAATTGTGCAAAAAATTAAAAACAGGAGAAATCAACAATTTTACAAAAAAATATCAAGGACCAAAATTAGTCAAGAATATATTGAAATTATAAGTTATACTATTGCTAAATAAAATGATTTCTATAAAAATATATCAGGAATAGGTATTTTTACAGGGAAGGCTTATAACATGTTCAAGCAGGAGATACAAATTTTAACCATAATATTTTTTTTTGATTGTGGCAAAATACACATAACATATCATTTACTATCTTATCTATATTTCAGTATACAGTGTCTTAAAATATAAGACATTATGATCAATATGGCTTATTCAAAAAAGGCAAATTTCTATGGATATTAAAATACATGGTCACTTATCATATAATAGAAAAAAGGGGAAAACCTGTGTAATTATATGAATTAGTGCAGAAGGTAATATTAGATAAAATTTTACAACTATTCATGATGAAAATACAACACAACAAATGCCTATATAAACATTAAAGACCTTTCTTGATAAAGTTTATTATCAAAGACTATATGAGAAATTATTCTCAATAGTGAAACATTTAAACTATTCTCGTAATAATGAATAACACACAGTGATGCCTATAACATGTCCATCCATATTGTACCAGAGGCACTAGTCTGTACAATAAAAAAGAAAAAAAAAAGTCTATAAGAATTAGAAGGCAAAGGACATAAAGATGTCATTATTTTCTGATAAGATGGATCATGTAGAAAAGCCAAAAGAAAACACAAAGAGTTGCAGTAATAGCTATTTTTATCTAAGTAAACAGCTATACTATTCATATATACAAGTTGGCTGCATTCCATGTATGCCAATAACAAATGCAAAGAAGAATAAATTTAAATAAAGCATATAATTTATAATGGGAAGAATTTGATGTAAAAAATTTAACAAATGTGTGCAATAATTTCTTTAGAAAATTATAAAAATTCTAAAAGACATTGAAGAAGAAGAGACATAAAATGGGTAAGGATAGGGAGAATTAATATCTCCCCAGTTTTTTTTATTATTATTTTTATTTTTTATAAACATATAATGTATTATTATCCCCAGGGGTACAGGTCTGCAAATCTCCAGGTTTACACACTTCACAGCACTCACCATAGCACATACCCACCCCAATGTCCATAACCACCCCCGGCCCCCCTCCCCCCAGCAACCCTCAGTTTGTTCTGCGAGATTAAGAGTCACTTATGGTTTGTCTCCCTCCCAATCCCATCTTGTTTCATTTATTCTTTTCCTACCCCACAAGCCCCCCATGTTGCATCTCCACTTCCTCATATCAGGGAGATCATATGATAGTTGTCTTTCTCTGAATGACTTATTTTGCTAAGCATGATACCCTCTAGTTCCATCCACGTCATCGCAAATGGCAAGATTTCATTTCTTTTGATGGCTGCTAGTATTCCATTGTGTATATATACCACATCTTCTTTATCCATTCGTCTGTTGATGGACATCTAGGTTCTTTCCATAGTTTGGCTATTGTGGACATTGCTGCTATAAACATTCAGGTGCTCATGCCCCTTAAGATCACTACGTTTGTATCTTTTGGGTAAATACCCAGTAGTACAATTGCTCGGTCATAGGGTAGTTCTATTTTCAACTTTTTGAGGAAACTCCATGCTGTTTTGCAGAGTGGTTGCACCAGCTTGCATTCCCACCAACAGTGTAGGAGGGTTCCCCTTTCTCCGCATCTTCATCAGCATCTGTCATTTCCTGAGTTGTTAATTTTAGCCATTCTGACTGGTGTGAGATGGTATCTGATTGTGGTTTTGATTTGTATTTCCCTGATGCCGAGTGATGTGGAGCACTTTTTCATGTGTCTGTTGGCCATCTGGATGTCTTCTTTGCAGAAATGTCTGTTCATGTCCTCTGCCCATGTCTTGATTGGATTATTTGTTCTTTGGGTGTTGAGTTTGCTAAGCTCTTTATAGATTTTGGATACGAGCCCTTTATCTGATATTTCATTTGCAAATATCTTCTCCCATTCTGTCAGTTGTCTTTTGGTTTTGTTAACTGTTTCCTTTGCTGTGCAAAAGCTTTTGATCTTGATGAAATCCCAATAGTTCATTTTTACCCTTGCTTCCATTGCCTTTGGCAATGTTCCTAAGAAGAAGTTGCTGTGGCTGAGGTCAAAGAGATTGCTACCTGTGTTCTCCTCAAGGATTTTGATGGATTGCTTTCTCACATTGAGGTCCTTCATCCATTTTGAGTCTATTTTCGTTTGTGGTGTAAGGATGGTCCAATTTTGTTTTTCTGCATGTGGCTGTCCAATTTTCCCAACACCATTTGTTGAAGAGGCTGTCTTTTTTCCATTGGATATTCTTTCCTGCTTTGTCGAAGATTAGTTGACCATAGAGTTGAGGGTCTATTTCTGGGCTCTCTATTCTGTTCCATTGATCTATGTGTCTGTTTTTGTGCCAGTACCATGCTGTCTTGATGATGACAGCTTTGTAATAGAGCTTGAAGTCCGGAATTGTGATGTCACCAACTTTGGCTTTCTTTTTCAATATTCCTTTGACTATTCAAGGTCTTTTCTGGTTCCATATAAATTTTAGGATTATTTGTTCCATTTCTTTGAAAAAAAAAAAAAGGATGGGATTTTGATAGGAATTGCATTAAATGTGTAGATTGCTTTAGGTAGCATAGACATTTTTCACAATATTTGTTCTTCCAACCCAGGAGCATGGAACATTTTTCCATTTCCTTGTGTCTTCCTCAATTTCTTTCATGAGTACTTTATAGTTTTCTGAGTAAAGATTCTTTGCCTCTTTGGTTAGGCTTATTCCTAGGTATCTTATGATTTTGGGTGCAACTGTAAGTGGGATTGACCCCTTAATTTCTTTTTCTTCTGTCTTGTTGGTGTAGAGAAACACAACTGATTTCTTTGCATTGATTTTATATCCTGACACTTTACTGAATCCCTGTACAAGTTCTAGCAGTTTTGGGGTGGAGCCTTTTGGGTTTTCCACATATAGTATCATATTATCTGCAAAAAGTGATAGTTTGACTTCTTCTTTGCTGATTTGGATGCCTTTAATTTCCTTTTGTTGTCTGATTGCTGAAGCTCGGACTTCTAGTACTATGTAAAATAGCAGTGGTGATAATGGACATCCCTGCCATGCTCCTGACATTAGCAGAAAAGCTTTCAGTTTTTCTCCATTGAGAATGATATTTGTGGTGGGTTTTTCATAGATGGCTTTGATGATATTGAGGTATGTGCCCTCTATCCCTAAACTTTGAAGAGTTTTGATCAGGAAGGGATGCTGTACTTTGTCAATTGCTTTTTCAGCATCTATTGAGAGTATCATATGGTTCTTGTTCTTTCTTTTATTAATGTATTGAATCACATTGATTGATTTGTGGATGTTGAACCAAACTTGCAGCCCTGGAATAAATCCCACTTGGTTGTGGTGAATAAACTTTTTAATGTACAGTTGGATCCTATTGGCTAGTATTTTGCTGAGAATTTTTACATCTGTGTTCATCAAGGATATTAGTCTGTAATTCTCTTTTTTGATGGGATCCTTGTCTGATTTTGGGATCAAGGTGATGCTGGCCTCATAAAATGAGTTTGGAAGTTTTCCTTCCATTTCTATTTTTTTGGAACAGTTTCAGGAGGAATTAATTCTTTTTAAAATGTGTGGTAGAATTCCCCTGGGAAGCTGTCTGGCCCTGGGCTTTTGTTTGTTTGGAGATTTTTGATAAATGTTTCAATCTCCTTACTGGTTATAGGTTTGTTAAGGTTTTCTATTTCTTCCTGGTTCAGTTGTGGTATATGTCTCCAGGAATGCATCCATTTCTTCCAGATTGTCAAATTTGTTGCCATAGAGTTATTCATAATATGTTCTCATAATTGTTTGTAATTGATCTGATATAAGGATTGCCACCCCAGCCTTCTTCTGATGTCCATTAGCATGGTAAATTATTTTCCACCCCCTCACTTTAAATCTGGAGGTGTCTTTGGGTCTAAAATGCGTTTCTTGTAGGCGGCATATAGATGGGTTGTTTTTTTTTTTTTTTTATCCATTTTGATACCCTGTGTCTTTTGATTGTGGCATTTAGCCCATGAACATTCAGGGTAACTATTGAGAGATATGAGTTTAGTGCCATTGTATTGCC